TATAGTTCCGTCGCCATCCAAGAGACCGATGACACGTTTCTCTTGTCCCTGGGAGAGCGATGAGGGGAGAGGGGGGACAGGAGAGAGAGGCCAGACCTTTAGCGCATGGAGTTCTGCGAGGAGTTTAGCGATTTCGTCAGACTTTTTTTTAACTTCGTCCTGTGAGCTGGCATAGGCAGCACGGAAAGCCCCCACGCTGGTGGTGAGTTCGCCATTACGGGCGATGTAATCGCGCCTTTCGGCCAGCAAGGCGTCAATTTCGGCTATGTAATTGTTGACGTGAGGTGGAGGGAGAGGGACCAGGAGACGTACATGACAGATGAAGGAGAGAGCTGCGACTGTGTGGAGAGGGTGAGCGGGGACGGCGAGACGGGGGGAGGCGCTCACACAGGGATGGTCGTCCATGGTGGGGGTGTGCAAGCGGTATGGGCATGTCAGCGGGGGCAGTACAGGCTATGGCCTGTGAGAATGTGTCACGTGTGCGTGTCCCGATCACACGCGCGATGCCGGGTTGGACAGGGGCCATGTCTCTCTACGCCTCCCTGTGCGTGAAGAAGCGCGTCCGCGCCAGCTCGGACGACGAATCCACCCCAAAGAGAGCCCGAATCGCGTACGTCTTCCCCGCCCGCCTTGTCCCCGCTCACACCCCCCCAGGCCACCCACCCCTCCCCGCTCCCCACGCTCCTTGCCTCCCCACCTCGCCCGACTCGACAACCTCCACTCCGCCCTCCAGCACGCCCTCTCCCATGCCCTCGCCACCTCTGCCGTCTCCCCCTCAGAGCACGGCACCATTCGCAACGTCCTCAATCACCTCTCCATCGCCACCTACTCTGGCTTCACCACAAAGTTTGACGAGCATGCTCTCAAGCGCCTCTGCTGGCTCTGGGAGTGGGACCTCACACCCACCCCCACCACCCAGGACGATCTCAATCCGTTCCTCGTCTCCACCGCTCCCCCTCCCCCAAAGGACTGGACGCGTGGGTCAATGGGCTTCGTCATCAGTCCCACGTCCCACTACTCAAAGTCCGCCGGAAAACGCGTCCCTGTCTATGGCATCGGCATCGAGGTCGAGATCGACATTGACAAGGGCATGACCGGTGGCATTGCAGCGCTCGCAAGGTGGACCGCGGATGCAGATATACGACGCGCAGAGTTCCGTTCGAAGCTCGAATCCTGGGTCGACGTACTCCGTTTGCTCCATCCTCCGCCTCGCCCAGCTCACCTTTCTTTTTGCAGGACCACTCCGATGTCTCCCCGATCCCAAACGTGCCCTTGGCAGACTTGCCCCAACTAGTCATTCATCCCATCCAGCCCTCATCCCTCACCCGCGTGCTTGCATCTGCATCTCCAAAGGGTGCAGCCGCCCTTGCGAACATGCTTCCCTCCAGCCCCTCCTCTCCCTCCAAGTCTCCTTCCAAATCCACCGCACCTCGCGCATTCCCTGTTCCCTTTCCGATTGCGAAATCCCACTCCAGCGAAGCCTCACCATCTAAATCTTCCTCGCTTGTTCAAACACCGTCCTCTCGACTCAAGCGCGTCGCTCCCCTCGCGGGACTCCTCACACCGCAGACACCTGCTCGTAAACGTCTGCAATCCGAAGCATCCGACGCTCTGCCCACAACACCCATCCATCAGCGCGGCCCCGACGCCGAGACTGCACCATCCACCCCAAGCACCTCCCGGCGTCAAGCGTTATATGATCGCGTCCGCCTCAAATCATTAACGTCGACCCCCGTCAAAGCCAAGAGTGCCGAGGTCGCAGGCGGTAAGCTCACCAGAGATCAGATTCAGAAACTGGGACAGCAAGAGATCCGCCGACGTTGCTTGCTCGGTCGACTGGGTGGTGTCGCAGAAAGTACCTGGATGTAAGTGCAAAATGCGTTTATCCGCGTTCTGCGAATTAACCCCACTAGGTTGTTCTCGTCCCCGGTTGGGTCGACCGCGACACCGACCATGCGTAAGCGCAAAGCTCTCCCCGCTACCGAGGTCATGGCTGCCGTCGTGAAATCCTCTCCCGTCCCAATGTCGACCTCGGAAGCATCTGAATCACTGAAACTGCTTACGACGCTATGCCCGTTCTTCCTCAGGCCGCTTGATATTAATGGCGAAGAGTGGCTCGAAATGCCTCCTACCACATCGAGCTCTGATTCCACCGAAGGCTCGGCAAAACAGGACTCCTCAAGCCCGACAAAGCCATCGGGATGTAAAATGGCGCCTCCTAGCCCCGGATCGAAACTATTTGGAGGTGGCCCGCCATCGAGCCCTGGATCCAAAGTGCGTCTAGACACTGCAGAACAGTTGCTTACCCGGAGTCCCAGGAGAGTCAAGCGAGAGGCAGGTGGAATCAGGGAGGTCAGAGAGATAATCAGAAGAGAGCTGGAACTTCATGATTGATCGACAGTGCTTTCATTTACTTCAATTGCGTTTGTTGGCTATTTGCGAAACCTCCTTCTGTTACCGTTCTTGTCGATTTGTTTTGCGACACCTTGTATCTCCGGTCACACCTGCATTGATTTAGCGACACCAATTCTACTCTACGCCATCTAAAAATTCTGCCCAAATATCATCCAGGTGGTACAAAACACCGATATGTCCACCACGAAGAGTCTTGACCTTGGTATTCTGTACGAGGCAGCTAGATACTGCGTCCATGCTTCGGGGGCTTCTTTATCCCCAGTACACGTCACCAGCATGACAAACGGACGAGAATGTTCGTCGTCCAACGCGTCCGGCTTAAACCCCCAGTCCGAGTGCAGGACAGAGGGCATGAGCTTGAAACCCTCCCAGGATTTCGCTACGCTGCGCACGGCATTCGTCGCAAACCTCCTTTCTGCCTCCCCCTCCGCCATACCTTCCTTGGCCCTCCACCGAGCAAAATCCTCCCTCTCTGCCTCGTCCATCTTGTCGAAAAGGAATCCCCGCAAAAACTTTTCCGCGCTGTCGACCGTAGACATCTTTTTCCCCATCACGGATGTCACGAGGTGAAGGATGATACGATTAAACGGGAACCACTGGCTAATGGGGCCGGTCATAAGGTAATTGCTCCAAGTCATATGCTTTGCATAATCCTTGTGGTAGTGGAAAGGCGTGAGTGATCCCATGAGCAACACGCCGACGATGCACCGTCCATACGGGAACTTGTCGTACGGAGCACCATACAATATCTGCGCTGGGACAGTGCCAAAAGAACCTCCAGAGACGTAAAGCTTGATGTCTCTCCCGCGTTCAGGATAGAGGTGGTCAAGGAGTGCAGTCATGTCGCTGGTGAGACAGTCGATGTATGACGTGGATGGGGGAGGGGGGGAAGTATTCCCCCACCCCGGGAGGGTGGGGCAGATGTGATGGATGTTCTTTGACGCGGTGGTATGGGAGGGCCGGGACGTTTCTCCGACTGTGAATGCGCCATGGAGATAAAGGAGAACGGTCGCGCTGGACGCGTTTCCAGAAGTAGCGTAAGCCAGCGTACGACCACCTGGCAGCGCCAGTTTGCTCTCGTGGGTGGAATCGTCCATGTTACTAGTAGGTATGTCGTTTCACGCTGACTGGTGCTCGGTATTTAAGGTGGTGTGGTGACGGCGCGCAGTTGCGCAACTGATCTCCCGTGCCTGCGCGTTCGCAGTTAAAGATGGGGAACATCGGCCGCGGTGATATCTCGAACGCTCGCTGCACAGTTTAGGGGTCAATTCATCCGCTCATTCGGGTTCGAGTTCCCAATTGGTGTCTGAGCTAATCATGGTGCCGCAGTTGAGTACTTGCCCGCTCAACTCAGTTGTATTTCTGCTAGCCACACATGCATTTATCTAGCGACACCAAATCTACTCTGCGCCATCCAGAAATTCTGCCCAAATATCATCCATGTGGTACAAGACACCGATATGTCCACCACGAAGAGTCTTGACTTTGGTATTCCTGTACGAGGCAGCTAGATACTGTGTCCATGCTTCAGGGGCCATTTTATCCCCAGTGCACGTCACCAGCATGACAAATGGACGAGCATGTTCGTCGTCCAACGCGTCTGGCTTAAACCCCCAGTCCGAGTGCAGGACAGAGGGCATGAGCTTGAAACCCTCCCAAGATTTCGCTACGCTGCGCACGACATTGGTCGCAAACCTCCTTTCCGTCTCCCCTTCTGCTCTACCTTCCTTGGCCCACCACCGAGCAAAATCCTCCTTCTCTGCCTCGTCCATCTTGTCGAAAACGACTTTTCGCATCAACTTTTCTGCATTGTCGAGCGTGGACACCTTTTTCGCCATTACGAATGCCACGAGGTGGATGATATGATTAAACGGGAACCACTGGCTAATGGGGCCAGTCATAAGGTAATTGCTCCAAGTCATATGCTTTGCATAATCCTTATCGTAGTGGAAAGGTGTGACTGCACCCATGAGCAGCACGCCGACGATGCACCGTCCATACGGGAACTTGTCATACGGGGCACCATACAATATCTGCGCTGGGGCAGTGCCAAAAGAACCTCCAGAGACATAAAGTTTGATGTCTCTCCCGCGTTCAGGATAGAGGTGGTCAAGGAGTGCAGTCATGTCGCTGGTGAGACAGTCGATGTATGACGTGGATGGGGGAGGGGGGGAAGTATTCCCCCACCCCGGGAGGGTGGGGCAGATGTGATGGATGTTCTTTGACGCGATGGTACGGGAAGCCTTGGACACTTCTCCGACCGTGAACGATCCATGGAGATAAAGGAGAACGGTCGTGCTGGACGCGTTTCCAGAAGTGGCGTAAGCCAGCGTACGACCGCCTGGCAGCGCGAGCGTGCTCTCGAGGGTGGAGTCGTCCATGTTACTGTGTATGTCGTTTCACGCCGACTAGTGCTCAGTATTCAGTATTCAATTCTCAGTTAAAGGTGGTGTTGGGACGGCCCGCAGTTCCCATGGCTGCGTGATCGCAGGTGAAAATGACTGATATCTGCACAGCTCATATTAGGAGTCAATTCAATTGGGCTCCAATCTCTGAGCTAGTCATGGTGCCGCAATCAAGTACTTGCCCGCTTAGCTCAGTGGTAGAGCGCGTCACTTGTAATGATGAGGTCGGTTGTTCAATCCAGCCAGTGGGCACGTTTTTTTTTGGCTTTCTTATCGGCAATGCGGGACGGTACGTTATTGCATTTGCAAAGCAGCTGGAATGAGCAGTGCTCGTACGGAACTCTTCCGCGCTGAGCGAACCTGGATCTGCCCCACGAGGGCTGAGGGACCCCAAGAGATGGTGTCTTACGGCATAACTTCCCCCTCGGGTGGGTTGCCTCGTTGCACCAGCACCATATGTACGAGACTCTGAATCAAATGGTTAAAATTACACCCGAGCGCCATATTGTTACTGACTCAGCTCCGCCCGGATCTTGCTCACATACTGCGCACAATCCACGACATTGCCTTCCTTCTGACTCTGCTCCGCAGCGAATACCGTAAGGTGACTCGTCATGATCGCTCCCACATCCACGCCAAGAATTGATTGATCACCTGCCCGCACCGCGTCGATGAAAGTTCGGATAAGACCCAGGTCTCCCCCTCCATGACCACCCCCTTCATCAGGAGGACAGCGCGTTATCTGTTTGCCAGTTCGGAAATCGGTTACCGTAAATGTATTCATATCGCCCACGATCTCGCCATGGGTAAAATGAAGGCGTGTTTGGCGTTGACAAACGAGGGAGGTATACGCAACCATCGTGAAGGAAGCTGTAGCTCCGGAAGAGAACTCGATGTTGACCACCTTTGGCACGAGATCAGCAAGCTCGAGGACACCTCGGGACACGCACTTGGTGATCACAAACATCGTTATCGCTTTCGTAGACGCATTTACCATAAGGACCGCTGTGTAATGCCTCTGATATGTTCTCCATGTCGGGTATGCCATCTACAAGAGTGCTTATAGGCCAACGAGTATTTCCCCGAGACACGGGATCCAGGTAAACTGCAGGACAGTTTAGGGATGAAGCACCAGTTATACACAGATAGCATACTTTTCTTTGCGCTGTATGGACATTCATTTTCGACAGGACATTCGAGGCATCGCAATGCACTCCCAGCGGCTACGGGTTTCCTGTCTTTCTTGAAATGATGCAGAGATCCGAATGAGGAAACCCTGGTAGGAGTTGTTGGGGACAGCCAGTGACAGAGAATGTCGACATCACTGAATAGCATCGTTAGATGAGAGAGCGATCGAAGAAGTATAAGATAGATGCTCACTGGCAGCTCTTGGTCATGAGGGAGAAGGAGCTCTCCGCTTCCTTGGCCCAGTTACCCCGGACATACGAATGGGCAAAGTGGAAATAACCAACAGGCTCGACATGCACGACGTTCACGAGCTCTCCCAGTTGGCCGGAGCGAACAACTTCTGTGATTGCCCTGCTGTATGGTGAGTAGCGCAGTACTGCGCCAGCATCGTCAGCCCTTGGTTAACACTCATAACAGATGGTGCGCACCGTGCCCAACCCCAAATATGACCCCAGCCGCATTCACTGCCTTCTCCATCTCAAGAAGATCGCGCAAGTCAGTTGCCATTGGTTTCTCGCACAATATATGATATCCCTGCTGGGCAAAGGCCAAGACAACATCCTTGTGCATATGGTCCTGCACAGCGACGATGACAGCATCTGCCAGGCGTTTTCCAACCGACTCGAGCGTCTCTGCAGATGCCTTGAACAGATCTTGCCACGTATTAAAGACGAGGGTATTGTCGATAGCGTGCGCCTTGGCAAAGAGGGTGCGGGTGTTGTAGCGGGGTTCTGCAATTGCGACGACTTTACATTGATGGGGTTGATCGAGCGCGTACGCAGCATAGTTCTGTGAGAGTGCTCGTCAGTTTGTTCAAGGTCGGCGATGGGACTAGATACGTACTGTCCCGCGCTGGCCACAGCCAATGACGGCGAGGGTGACGGGGACGGTCGGGATCGTGCCGCTCGAGCTCATGTTGGTATCTTTTGTCCTAGAAGGCAGTGACTGTGGCCAGATAGCCCGGGTGTTCTGAATCCAGGGTGAACATGTGACCGCAACGCTGGCGGCCCGAGGGCGCTGTAGATGTTCATGTCGAAGGGATGGATTGATGGCAAGAACGTACAGGACATCCAAGCCAGCCGAACGGAACGGCATGCCTCGTCTCTTACCGCGTCTACTTAAAGCACTCCAGGAAACACTCTTGAACTCGAAACACGTCGCCCCCTCGCGAAATGTCGGTGCTCGCAAGCGAAAATCATTATATCGACCGGTTCCTGTCTCCGTGCCGTCCTTTGACCCCGCCGGGAGGACGCGCTCGATTCTGCTCGACGAGAATCCGGTGACGGACAAACGCGTATTTGCAAGGCATAAGCGTCTGCCTCCAAGGGTTCGCCTGGGTCCTCGACCGGTGGTGCACAAGGAACACGATGTTCCGAGGGAGATGACCACTCAAGAACGCGAGTGGTGGTCGAGCTCATACCGTGCGTTCGATCGCTCGTTTCCCCGCTCTGCGCTCGTCGCCAATTAGACCGACAACAGTCAGGATGTTGGCTACCCCGCTGCGACAATGCATGGTCTCTAAAAGGTATTTGCCCAACGGTACGCGTATGTATTTTCATGTACAAATGTTTCTTATCCCGTCTTGTCCAGATTTTCTCGTCAGGCTCGCGGTGCTACGCTTACCCGCAGCACAAAATGTTCCCTCGATGGAGGTCCTCATGCCAGATGGACTCGAACATCCGAAATACAAGCGGAGGAGAGCACGCGTCGCCGTCTATGTACCTTGCTGGAAGGACGCTGTTGAAACTATGAAGTCGCCAGGTGGCTATCTCGCTTTCGACCCTCTTGCTCACCAGCTCACCTGATGTCCCCGTTGTCAGTCTCCCTACCCGGCCACAGTGCAAACATATCCTTCTCCAAACACCTTTGTGCACACATCAGCTATCTTTTGCGTCTCCGCGTCCTCCAAGAACTAGAAGTGCTGATTGATGCTCTCAAACGGAGCGGGGGTCGAATCGAGTTCGATGCGAGCGCGGACCTCACGATTCTCCGACGTCTAACGCGATCCGAGTTCAAGTCCTTCCGCGAGACGGGCATAATACCTTACCCCGATGCAGCAGCAGTCGTCGTCGTCCCTCCCGTGAACCGCAACCCAGGAACCAAATCGCGGCCCCGACCGTCACAAGAGCCAGAAATTCCATCGAATGAATCTAGCGTCCATCCAAACCCCATGCATAAGAATGCCCTCCCGCCGCTCTCAAGCCTCCACTATGTGAGTGCCTCTGAGGGTGCATCAGAGCAGGGGGTGGATCATTCCCTGGATATACCCTTTTCAACTTTTTTACCAAACGCACGCGTTCCCTGGTACAACGGCCTCACCATGTTTCCTTCTCCGTCACACCGTGCCGCGTTTCACAAGTTGCTCACCGAACTACTAGACGTTGAACGGCATTTCCGTGGATCACACCCGATTTCTGAAGTGAGGACCCCGATTAGAGAGGGATTTGATCGCGCAAGGGGTGACGCAAAAAGGAGTCACGCGTTTCTTCTCATATCAAACGAGCAGACTGTGAAACGTGCGGACACGGCGGCGCTCGCCATTGCGCTCTGGAGACTGCGGATGTGGGAGGGCGATGCCTTCGTTAGTAAAGTCGAAAGCTGGGAGGTCGGAAAGTAATTGTCCGTGGGGATGTACACCATCACCAGGACCGTTTCTAATCATCGTTCAGAGTGACAAGAGTCCTTGTGAATGATACTTTAAAACACCGGGTGATACAAATTATTCCACAACCATTGGTACTGGCACACCCTCGAAAAGCTTTCTTCAAAGGTGTTGACAACACCTCCTTGCCTTCCCAGAACTTGGGGAGATGGTTACCAGGTACGAACAAGCGTTCGACACCTTCTTCGGTAACGACACACATGCGGATGACACCCCCCGATGAGCCGTCTCGCGACATCGCAAGTGCGAGTGCTGTGGAGGAATTAAACGAACCCGGCAGGAGGGCAGACACACGCAGACATACTGTTCCGGACGAACTCGATAGTCTCATCTCTTCCCCACCCTTCCTGGTAGGTAGCGTCACAGTAACCATACACGTACGTTGACCCGGAACCTAGCAAGAAACGGTAAGAAAAAGTATGACTTGAGTGCCTCGACGCACCGCCTATGGCCCAAGGCTGACGGAAAAGTCCACCCCCGAGGGGAATGTTGTAGACGCTAGGGCCAACCTCGTTGTCCCAACCAGCCACGATTATTCCGGCAGACAGATGGTCCTTGTTGTCGTAACAGATTTTCTCAAAGGTGGCTGCAGTAGTTGCAACGGAGGGAGGGGCGCCGCGTATTTGCCTATTCTCAGACGTATGTTAAAAGGTAAGAGTGAGAGCGAGGTCGTTCGACGCACGTCATCACCTGGCAGTTTTGATGAACAGCATCAGCTACGGCCTGTGTATCCGCTGCTGACCCCGATCGACAACAGTATATGCGATCGTGGATATGCGTGAGCTTGTCTGTAACACGATTAGCCTGGACAATCGTGCAAATGTCTCAGGAGAGAAATGGGAATGAGGCAAGCGGCGACGAACGATGTAGCTTCCAGTCGTTGTGCGACTGTCTGCGCCAATGACGACGCCGCGGTCGAATTCGACGGCCATGATGGATGTCTGTGGGAGTGCATGTAGACAAGCACCGTCTGGTAAGTGAGCGGATACGCACACCGAGGTTGACCTCGCCGCTTTTGAGCCTGTCCATGTCGATACGATCCATGATGATGGACGAGATGTGAGTTGAGTGGCTGTTGGGCTGACGCGTCTTCCCTGGACGCGTGTGCACCGATCCAGACGACTCTTGGCAACCTCCGCGATGGCTTCTCGACAGCTGGGCACGCTCTACCGCGAACTACAGCGCGCGTTCGACGCACGCCCGACCGATCTCAAGAAATGCAGCGCATTGCTTGCTCAGCTCAAGGTAGCGGGTCCATCGTCATCCGGCGACACCGTCCTGACAGCCCCAAGATCGGTTTGATACAGACTGGCCTTCTCATTCCAACCGCCGAGGCAAGCTTGCAGGACCTGGCCGTTGCCCGTAAGTACCCCTTCCCATCCCCGTCCGTCATGCCTCACAT